TTGCTGTGGTTTTCCTGTTGTTGCTTCTCCTGCTTTTCAGGGTGACCACAGGTGGTGTTGGAGCTCAATCATCCCAAGGGATGGCTGAGGAATGTGGTCATGGAGTCATGGAATGGTTTAGGTTGTTGTTCCAATAGGGAAGGGACACCTCCCATTATCCCAGGTTGCTCCAACCTGGCCTTCCAGGGATCCAGGGGCAGCCACAGCTTCTCCGGGCAACCTGTGCCAGGGCCTCACCACCCTCCCAGCCAGGAATTCCTTCCCAATATCCCACCTAAATTCCCCCTCTTTCACTTTGAAGCCATTCCCTGTGTCCTGTCCCTCCATCCCTTGTCCCCAGTCCCTCTCCAGCTCTCCTGGAGCCCCTTTAGGCCCTGGAAGGGGCTCTCAGGTCTCCCTGGAGCCTTCCCTTCTCCAACCTGGCCTTGGACACTTCCAGGGATGGGGCAGCCACAGCTTCTCTGGGAATTCCATCCCAGCCCCTTCCCACCCTCCCAGGGAGGAATTCCTTCCCCGTATCCCACCTAACCCTCCCTCTGGCAGTTTGAAGCCATTCCCTGCTGTCCTGGCACTCCAGGCCCTTGGAAACAGTCCCTCTCCAGCTCCATTTATCCCTCATGTCCTGTGCACCAGGTCAGGGAAGAATCCAGGAATAGTTTGGGTTGGGAGGGCCCTTCAGGCTCATCTCGTTCCACCCCCTGCCTTGGACCACAGACGAGGCTTTTGATGCCTTTGATGCTTTTCCTTCCCAATCTATTCTTGGCTTTTTTTCAGCTTTTCCACTGCAAAAGCTCAGCATTCAGGTACTGATGGAGATCAGAGACTTGTGAGAAGCTGTTCAGCCCCCAAACTCCATCTGCTTAGGGTTTTTTTTTTTTGGTGTTTTTTTTTTTATTCTGCTGCACTAAATAAAGGCAGGGAGATAAAAGTCTCTGCTTGGCACCCACTGGAAATTCAGCTCGGAACGGGAGCAGGGATAGCAAAACAAAGGCTTGGAGGAGAATTACATCACCAGCCTGAATGTTTCAAAGCTTCTTCAAGCTGAAGTTTAAAGGTGTCATGGTCCCAAAAAGCCTTTCAGGATGCCCAGCTCGGCCCTGCTGTGGGATTAAGAGCCCAATCCTACCTGTTGAGCGAGGTTGGAAGCTTAGGGAGAGCCTGGGGGAGGGCACAGCTCCAGATTCCCTGCCCTGGCACTGCCCCGAGGCTCAGAGCAGGACTTGTGTAAGTCAAGGTGAGAGAGAGGAGAAGTGGGGGTTGGAGTGGGCAGTGCCTTAATCCGGGGACTGAAAGGTGTAAACTGAGAATTCCTGGCCTTGGAACAGCCTGTTGGGGATGGGGAGCAGGATTTTCATTCCCCAGTTCCAGCTAAAGGGTAAAAATAAAACAAAAGAAGCCCCCAACCAACCCTCCTACAGCTGGGCAGCTTCAGGTTGTGCCACTTTCTCCCCTCAAAATAAGGGAGTTGGGGCTTTTTTTCCACGGCAGAAAAAAACCTGGGCAGGGAAGGAAGAATCCCACCCTGGATAAAAGCTGATTGACAAAGATGAGGAGCCAGGGGGAGATCACAAAAAGTCGTTTTCCACCTTCGGGAGGAAGAAAAAACACCCAAAAGTGGGGAAAAAAGGAGGCTCAGGGAGGGACCTTCTCACTCCCTGACAGGAGGGGGGAGCCAGGGCGGGCTCTGCTCCCAGGGAACAAGGGACAGGACAGGGGGAAACGGCCTCAAGTTGTGCCAGGGGAGGTTTAGGTTGGATATTAGGGAATATTTCTCCACAGACAGGGATTTTCAAGGCCTGGGAGTCCCATCCCTGCAGGGATTTACCAGCCCCGTGGATGTGGCTCTTGGGGACGTGGTTGCACTCGAGGATCTTGGAGATCTTTTCCAACCTAAAGGATTCTGTGATTCTACAAAAATAATTGTGTTTTGGGGGGGTGGTGTAAGATTTCCCTTCCCAAAATCCACCAAACCCCAGAGTCAGATTCCCCCCGAGGCTGGAGCCGACTCTGCTCCGCGTGGGCTGCTCAGCTCCTTGTGCAAGAGGGGAAAAATCTTGGAGCAGGAGCTCTTGGCACGTTTCCCACCGTTTGTGCCACTGCAGATGAGGCCTTTTGGCCCCAGTCAGTGCCTGGAGGAGCTGGGAATTGCTGATTTTTTTTTTGTATTTTTGTTTTTCCCCCTTTCCCTCCAAACGTGCCCCCATCCCCTGCCCAGCCCGTGCCCCTCGCCCCCGTGTCACCCTCCCCGTGCTGTCACACACCTGGTGCCTGTTCTCCCCCTCCAGGCTGAAGCTGTGGAGATGGATGGATTCCAGGCAGACACTGAGGAAGATGAGGAAGATGATGACTGCATGATTGTGGATGTACAGCCAGCAAAAGGTGGGAATGTGAAGGGAGCCTTGGCAGCTCAACTGGGGGGGTTTCTGCCCCTTTTTCACCATCCCTTGAGCTTTTCTCTCTCCATCTTTCATTCTAAACACTTCTCTGCTTGTTATCATGTTTTTTCTGGATGCTTCTTTGCTATTTCTGGTCTTCTCTAACCTGCTCCTGCCTTTTCTTTCCCTCCTCCTCCTCCTCCTCCCTCCGACTGCCTAAATAGCACAAAACACTTGTGACTCGCACTCGGCTGCCAGCGTTACCTGTTTATTTCTGGGAGGAGAAAAGGGAACATTAAAGGGTTTGCACCAGCAGATCCACTCATTATTTGGGAATGTTGCTGCTCCCTGGGGTGCTCAGAGCCCTTCCAAGGTGCGGGTGTTAAGGAACAACGAGGTTGTGCTGAAGGAACAACAGCCAAGCTGGGCTCTGCTGCCCTGCTCCTCAAACCCCAGCAGTTTGCTGGTTATCTGTGTCCCAGTTATCCCTTGGAAAACGGGCTTCAAAGCCCCAGTGGTGCAGTGGATCCGTGCAGGAGGTGGGATGAGGATGTGGAGCAGCTCCTTTGATCTCAGGGAGGTTTTTCAGCCGTGCAAGTCGACACCAGGCACGTGATGGGGCTTCAGAACCTCAGAGCTCCTTCCCCGCTGCTCTCCCAAAAGAGCTCCTTCCCTGCTGCTCTCCCAGAGGAGCTCTCCCAGCACCCCTGAGTTAAGCCAGGCAGGGTTTGTGTTGGGCAGCTCCTCCAGACGAGGGCTCTGCACGTGAATTCCGTGGGGTCTGACCCACCCTGGGCAGATCCAGGCTCTCCTTTCTTCTCTCTGGAGCTGCTGCTCCATCCTCTCACCTCCCCAAACAAACCCATGCTGGAACTGCCTGACAAGCAGCTTGGCTTTAATCTCTAAGCTGCTTTTGCTTGATTACCAGGCTCTGAGAGATGAAACCCTGGCCTGGGTTTTGTCACCCCTTGTTCTGGAGGTGCCACTCAGCAGCTTCCCTCCCTCAGGCTCTGGGGACACAAAATGCAGCTGGGTTTGTTCAGCTAAAGGCACTGAAAAGATTAAGAAAATCCCTTTTTTTTTATAGTTGAAGTGATTTTTTTTATTATTATTATTATTTTATTCGGGATTGGTGATATTAAACATGAAACCAGTTAAATTTAAATAAATAAATATTAAATGTCAAACCAGTGGCGAGAAGGAGGCTCACAACAGACACAAAACAGGGAGGAGATAAATTCTGCTGGATTCATGAGGATATTTAACAAACAAAACCAACATGTTTTTTGTCCTTTGCAGACTCTCCAGCTTCAGAATCCAGTGGTACAAGAGCTGCTCACCAGGACACCAGCAGGGTCAGCCCATCTAATACAATTTGAGACTTAAAACACACCTACTAACTCCTCTGTATGTATGTAGAATGAATTAGAAAACTTTAAAACCCTGTGTATCTTCGCCCAAGATACTTGAAAGTATTCCACATTTCTTGTAAAGAGAAGACAGCACTTTGTTCTGCTTCAGCCCAGATGGAAGCTTAAATTTTTTTATTTTTTTTTTTAGTTCTAGCTTTTTTTAGCTTGGTTCTTTTTAAAAAAAAACAAAACAAAAACAACAAACTGCATATTAATCTGTCCTTAATAAAGCATTATTGAAATTTTGATACTTCTTTGTAATGGAAGGTATCTTAAATTATCTCTGAAAGTAGCTGAGGGATTTTTGGGATAAGCTTATTGTGATGCCACTGGGGGAATGATGACTGTTCATAATGTTGTACAGCGTGGCCTTGGGTATAAATGATGTACAATTATATATGAATTTATGCTCTTGTACCATCCTGTTTGTGGTTTTACTTGCAGCACATTCGGAAAGAGGGAGGGGGAAAAAAGCATCTTGTTGCTTTTATTTTGGAATTAATTACAGATTGTCAGTCCCTGTTTACATCAGAGCTCGTCTCTGTGCCACAGAAAAACACGAAGATTGAGGTGTAAAGGACTAAACTGGCATCAAACTCGGTGGGATAGGGAGCAAACTTTAGTTTTCTGTGATTTGTGGGTTGTTAATTAGTCCCTGGAAAGGCTGGGTGCAGTCTGAGGGTGGGCACCACCAGCAGCTGGTGTCAGGGAAAAGGGGGTCAGGCTGCCCCAGTAACACCAGTGCCAGTCCCCTGCCTGACTGGGCATTCCAACCCCATTAACAATGCAGTCCAAATAACCTGGAGCAGAGCTGAGTCTTTAAATAATTCCATTTAATCAGCCTAAGTGTCACCTTACCCCACTGTACTCCCTCCCGCAGGAGTTACAGTGCACACGGAAGCCAAAGGGGAAGCTGAGCCCTAAACCCAGCCCCACACCCGGGCTCAGGGTGGTGATCCAGCCTAGCAGCACTAATCCCTGCTCCCCCACTGCCTCGGGAATAACACCCTCCTGGAATAACACCCTCCTGGAATGTGGTGCTGACCCCCCCTGGGAGCAGGGCAGGAAGTGTCTCGCTGGGTGAGACCCCCCGAGCCTGCGGCTCCCGGAGCTGGGGAGGGACAGAGTCGGGGCTCCCCCTCTGCACAGCCACCCCACAGCCACCCCTGAGCTTCCTGGGGGGAAAGGGAGGGAAGAGGCTAAAACCAGCAGCACTGAACCCACTGCCCTTTATTTCAGGGGAGGGTCTGCACCCCGGCCAGGAGCTCCGGCCTCAGGGGGCTCCGGGGCTGCTCCTCTCCTGCTGCCTCGATGTCTGCCATGACTGCTGCGTCCCAGCACAGGCTCAGGAGGGCCGAGGGCACCTGCCACGGGAGAGGCACGTTAGTGAGCCAAAAAATCATGGAATACTTCGGGCTGGAAGGCACCTTAAAGCTCAGCTTGCTCCACCCCCCACCCCGCCGTGGGCAGGGACACCTTCTCCTATCCCAGGTTGCTCCAGGGATGGAGCATCCACAGTTTCTCTGAGCTGTCTACATTCCCAGAGCTGGGAAAACTTCAGCTAAAAGGGACAAGGGTGGATTTCTGCCAGAAGCTCCTTCTGGGAGATGCTGCTCTGGGCTTTCTGTTCACACCCTTGCCTTGCCTTTGCTGCCTTCCCTGTTTTCCCAGTGTGGATGCTCAGCCTCTGGCAGAGCTGCTGGCAACTCCTGCAGCTGCCTTTGCTCCAGGAGGGAGGTCCCTGCAGTTCCCTCCAGACTTTGAAGCCTCCAAGCAGTTTCTTGTTTGCTTGTGCTTAAAATGAGGGGCTGGAGAGCACAACTTGGGGCTCTGAAAGCTGAAGACACACAAACTTCCCCCCAGGCTCCGAGACTGTGATGGAAGGGGCTGAAGTTCCCTCTAAAAGCAGCTGAGGGATTTTGGAACAAGCTGAGGGGGGGACTCTGAACACCTCAGGGCCCTGGGGAAGGTACCAGCTCTCACTGGTTTTTTTTTTCCACTCACCAGCCCACACTCATTGAAGGCCAAGTTCTCATCAGTGAGTTTGAGCCCTCCAGGTCCCAGGAGCTCAAAGGGCAGCCAGTCATCTCTGAGTGCTTCCCTCACAAAGCTGTAGAGCACAGACACTGCTTCTCGGGCATAAAAAGTCCCTGCCATGAGAAAAACAAGGTGAGGGAGTCTTTCCCAAAAATCCAACCTTTTGTGGCCCCTTTTGTGGGGCTCTGACTCTCTCAACTGCTTCAGTGCCACAGAGCCAGGCTGATTGAACTGGAAAGGCCTCAAAGCAGAGTTCCCAAAGGAAGTTATTCATTTGTTGCAAGCCCCTGCCAGGCTGTGACAAAGAGCTGGGAAAGCCTGAAGTGATTTCCAGAGTTCTGCTGGAAGACTGGAAGAGGATTTGTGCTGTTGTACAACCTCGTGCTGGTTCCTGTGACACACTGGTCTAATGAGTCCAGCTTGTTCCCAGAGGTTTTGGGAAGAGGAGGCTTTTCAATGAATGATGCCTTGGGATTCTTCCCACCTTAAAATCCCAACCCTGAGCAGGTGATGGAGATGGGAATTCTTGGAGAAACATCCCGCTCTGGTTTGGTGTTTTATTCCACGAGCTGTGTTAATATTCAGCTTTTTATCCCACAAGCACCCTCAGGAGGTGCCCAAAGGAAGGGTGAGGAGCCTTTTTCTTACCTTGGAGGATGTATCCGTCAGGAAAGCGCACTCTGAGCAGGGTGTAGTTGTATTTCCTCATCTCCCTCTGCTCCTCCTTCTCCCTCATGGCTCTCGTCCTCAGCATCGACGCCTTCTCCACCGCCTCTGTCCTGCGGGGAGAGACCCTTCAAGCACCAGGGACAGGGACAAACTGGGATAACAGGGACTGGCTGGCACCCCCTGGGCCCTCCTGCTGCTCCAGCCCCTCAGGATAAACCCTTCCAGACAGGAAGGAGAGGGACAAACCCTGGCTGACATCCCCTGGCCTTTCCTCCTGCTCCAGGCCCTCAGGACAAACCCAGGACTAGACCAGTGCCACGGTGTAGGCGACAGGGTGGTGTTGGGTCATGGGTTGGACTGGATGATCTCAGAGGTCTTTTCCAACCTGGCTGATTGTGTCATTCTGTGATTCTGTGGGACAAACCCCTGACTGGCATCCTCTGTCCCCTCCTGCTGCTCCAGCCCCTCAGGATAAACCCTTCCAGGCAGGAAGGAGAGGGACAAACCCTGGCTGACATCCCCTGGCCCTTCCTCCTGCTCCAGCCCCTCAGGAGAGGGACAAACCCCTGGCTGGCACCCCCTGATCCCTCCTGCTGCTCCAGCCCCTTGGGACAAACCCTTCCAGCCCCTTGGGACAAACCCTTCCAGCCCCTTGGGACAAACCCTTCCAGCCCCTCAGGACAAACTTTTCCAACCCCTCAGGACAAACTTTTCCAGCCCCTTGGGACAAACCCTTCCAGCCCCTCAGGACGAACTTCCAACCCCTCAGGACAAACTCTTCGAACCCCTCAGGACAAACCCTTCCAACTC